TATATATATATATATATATAAAAAGCAACTTAAAAACAGCAAGAAAGGAAGCTTTGGATTACAAAGAGATGTTCTTGTTGCTGAAAATGAATGAAATAGAACTAATATTAAAAAATATATAATCAGTGCTTGTAGAGTTATTACACAGTGACAAAATGAAGGAGAATACAGAATGTTTTTATTGTTGTTTTATTCCACGTGCAGATCCATATTAAGATATTTCTAAAGAATTATACCTTATTATTAAACCTTTAAGAAACAGAGCACAGAAATTCTAACATTAGCAATGGCTGCAGTTGAATGACTTTTACGTGAGATTTTGTCAAAACATAATATATATATTTTTTACGTAGTTAACCTGAGTTTGCAATGATCTGAGGCAGAAACTGCTGTTTGGATAAAATAACATTATGATCATTAGTGTGTGAGACACGATCATCACACTAATGCAGAGGATTTTATACAGACTTAGTGGGTTCATGTCCCTACATTTAAACTGCTTATGGTATTTAAAAAAATAGTTGCTGGTTGATTCAAGGAAATTTTATCTAAACTTAAATGATGCCAAAATAATGTTTAGAAGCTAAAATCCAATTGGAAAAAGTTTTTTTTTTTAACTATCAAAAACAGCAACTGTTATCAGTACTCCTTGAAAAAAACACCAATAACATAATTGTTATTGGTAATTGAAATTAACAACCCCAAAAGTATCATATTTAGAAAATGTTTTTTTTTTTTTTTTAAAGAAAAGGACTTTGCTTGGGCTTATTATTCCTGTGCTCATGTATCAAAATATATTTTTTGCTCTTTGGGAATTTGAAAATTTTATCTAAAAAATATTTTGTTTACCTGAAATGTTTTACTCACTTTCAGGTAAATGAAAAGTGGCTTCATTTAACTTTAGAAATCGCATTAAACATAAACATTATATGTGGAAAAATATTTATTTTTACATTTTTATGTTCCCAATGGGAATCCTCAGAACTACAACTCAAAATAGCAAAAAAAAAAAAAAAAAAGCTTTTATGTGAGGGGACAGTGTTGCCGGTATTGAATTTACCATTCAAGGGTTTGCAGCACAAAAAAAATCAGAGGATGGCTAATAACATATTTTACTGAATATATTGTTCATGGAAGTGATTTTATCAACTTGAACTATTTACAGTTATAATTTAAGGATCAGACTGCTACTATACATACGTTTTTTTTCCAATCCAAGACCTGTAAAACAAGACAAATTAAATTTTAACCATAGCATCTCTATCTTTAAGTAGTGATCTTTACATTTGAGCAGACCAAACTTCCTAGAAACTAATCTTTGTGCCAAAACGCCAAATTGTAAGGACAACTGCACCCTGTCTACATATCATATAAGAAGAATAAACAACATTCCCACCTTTATTTGAAATTTCAACATAACCAGGGGGTAGATATGTGTCCAGAATTAATTTTGTTCAACAGTCTTGTCAGATTATGTGCTTCAAGCTGTTCAGCACCTGTAAAGGCTCCATAAATCCCACAGCTCCCCGTTCAGGGACAAGGCATAACCTTAGGATTTAAATTTTAACATTGGCTCACTGGGTGCTCAGAGACCTTAAAACGGTTATATCACACCATCACTAAACTGTGCCTGGAAGCTACCCACTTAAAACATCTTAAGGTACGAATGATTCAGCATGACATCGCTACAGGGGACATTAAGCTAAAGAGGAACATGTCCACAGGTTAGGAGATGCAACGAGAACATGACCAGCCTGGAAATTGATCCTCCAGTTAAGCGGAACAAACATCTGGATAGCCTCTAACCGATTTTCCGTTATCTCTAAATTAAAATAATTTATCAGGCTGCAGTGATACTGATGCATGGCTCACTTACATCTGCTTGAATAAGCAGACGAGTCATAACAAAGAGAAGGGTCATGCAAAGTCATGTAAAGGAGACTGAGCATCACAAAGGCTGATAATTACCGAATTAATGCTGCAGGAGGCAAAATTTATATGGAGCTAAGTTAATTTGACATATTTATCCAGGAAATCTCATGAGCTGAATGTCATTATGTATTTTGTGCGTCAATACTGCTAAATCATTGTTGTAATAAGATTAGTTATAACTTTTGTGATTTAGAAAACTCAAATAAAGAGGTGAAAATGCAGAGAGATCAACAGTTTGAATTTGAAGGACAATCTGATTATAATTAGAAAGATTTTAGTTAAAAAGTTAACAATTTCAAAGGCTTGTTGCTGAATGGTCTGTAAATTAGGCTCATGTAGAGAGATAAAAGCATATTTTGTTTCTATATAAGGCACATTTTCATGTTTTTAAATTTATAATTCAAATAGTCATAGCCCACCTACAATAAAATCCAAAATTACACAAAATAATTAAAAGAATGGCATATACAAGCAGATTTTTGCCACATATCTAAATATGTCCTTCACAAATATCTGTTCATATAATTTTGTTTTTCTATGGAATGATTTAGGGAGGATAAATTGATGAAATGGGATATATTTACTTCCAACGGAGCCAACTTACTTTTAATACTCTTCCCAGTAGATGCAGACTGAAAGAACTGTATTAGTCTGAGGATAAATGGTAATGTTGCAGCCTCAGAGAAATTATCTGTTTTAACATCAGAGTGAAATCCCAAAATGTGCAAAACAGGGATCCTGTTTGAAATAGTGAAGAAGAACTGAAACACTGTTCAATAGGAAGGATTTAACCATTTTTCTCTTTCAGAGTAGAATAATTCCTGCATTTAATCTAACTGAAATGATAAAAAAATACAGAAACATCATCCAAATAGGACATTTTCTTGGCAAATAACATTGACTCAAATTAGTTTTATCTTTTTGGGTGGGAATAAAGCAACTGTCCCTTATAAATCCAATTTGCATCTACCAGCAAGAGATAAAAGAAAAACACATCTTTCCTACGTAGGACCTAATTATTTTATTTTGTCTCAAACTAAGTGTCTTTAACTGTGAGTCAAACAAAAACACATAGAAAATACTGGGTTTAACATTCTTTGTCATCAAATTTACAATTTATGTTTTCCGGTTGATGTTAGGGTCACGGAGCTAAGGAACTGACAGACATCAATAGTTGGATTATAAATAATATACTGAAAACAGGATGCATTTATAATACAGTTTGCTCAAATACCTTTTTAACATTATTCTTACTCCCTGAACTTTTTTTAGTGTGTCACATTTAATAAATGCATTTTTTCATTTGTTAAATGAACTATACCAACAAAATATTACACAAAACTCTTACTTAAACTTTGTACCCATTAAAACCCTGCATAAACGCCCTTTTCTGCAAGTGTAATGGGGTATGTCTGACAGTGTTGCATGTCCAGAGAGTCGAATCCTTCCCATTATTTCCAGCCGAAATTCAATTAAATTAGATGTGCCTGTGTCTGTGCATATCAATTTTCAAATCTTTTCCCAAATTAGAATTAGGCTGGATGTTCCGTGAGTAATGCACAAATATGTTTTGATCTGTATGTTAGAAGCTCTTGTCTCATTAGCAGGTGGAGTTCTGTCCCATTGTTTGAAGGCTGTAACTCTGGTCAGCTTTCCTTACCACAAATAAATCGCCAAATAAAAATAAAACAAAGCTAAAATTGACAAATTTGAAAAAACAAGATGAGGGCTTCATGTTCACAAAAAGCAACTTGTGCTCTAAAATACTAACAACAAGCTTGTAATTAGCCAGGCAGGTGATTCAAGGGAGCACAGTAATGTGTCTAAAGCAGGATTGAAGAGGGAGTTAAGAAAGATTAACCTCTGGGAATGAAGAACTTTAAAGCTGTCAGCGAAAATTAACTGCATTCATTTAGAATAGATGTGCTTTATGAAATCATGAGCATCATTTATTGGACTTATGTGGTCTGATATGTTGATATAACTTAACTGAAAATGTGTGTTTTTTTTTTCTGAAGTTGTCCAGATCACCTATATATTGTCCCCCTGATATAATCTTCACTGACCTGGAAAGGTTATTAAAAAAAACATATTCCGGTCAATCTTAACATTAGGGGTAAAGAATGCTGTCTGTTCAGGTGGCTTCCATGGAGTATAAATATTTAAAGGGAGGCTTAATTATTCTACTCATGGGAAATATTTAAGTGAATGGTAGAAGAAGTTACCAGGAAAACAAAAAGTTATAAAATGAATTATCTGGAGGTATGGCTTCATGTGTTCTTTGGTAAGACATTTCACCTGCCATGCCTGCTGTTGGTGGTTAGAGGAACTGGCTGGACCAATTGCATGAAAACCACATTTTTGTCAGCGTGCCCCAGCATAGAAAATGTAGCATACCTTCATTAGCGTATGAATAACTGGATGTAATACAAAGAGCTTTAGGGTCTTTGGACTTGATAAATTACCATAAGTAAAAAAAAAAATAATAATTTAAAGAAAACAACATTTAGACACATTGAGGAGTCATGTTATAAATTCATACTTCACCCTCTATCTACGGAGCCAATCTTGCAACCCAAGAGTTCAGAAAACTGTAAAACACAGACCAGTTGTTTTGTTAATTGCTCCCAGAAAACATCTATTGCAGTGGATGAAGTTAGAACAACTCTTTTTTTAAAAGTTCTTCATATTCAGCAACACGGAATGACCTCATATGATCTATTTAAGGCTATAGCTGAGAGTAAATCAGATTACATTATTTTATGGGTATAAACAGTATGTTTGTTATGCTTTCATCACTCATACAGGCCAGCATGCAGGGCTATTACAAAAAAACCTGTATACATCCATTCAATAGCTCACTCAGACCCACAATTCATTAGCAAGTCATCCTGTCCTCTGCTACAGAAATGAAGCCCACAGCATGACGCTGCCACCACCAATTTCTTT